AACACTCATCCTTTAAACGACAGACTCTCGCAACGATTGTAGCGAATTTCATAAACCAGATCGTGGCATGCTTTCTTGATGCATGGTCAAGAAACCTATGGGTTTACGGGTCCAGGGTCAAAAATCTTTCAAGGAAATTCTAAGTGAATGCATATCAATATTTTGCCAGATTGTAACTGTATCGAAGATCCATCATCCGAGCTCCAATGCTCGTTAGACGAAGTCCCAGTGATGTTAAACAACTCCACATGAATTTGCTCAATGTGACATACTCTTCGTCCAGTTACTTTCTTTTAACTTTGCATTGTGATTCTGTACCGGTTAGTTTGTTGACTGATTCTATTTTTGTCAGTTCTAAGTGTGTAAATACCACTCTGATATGTAATAAGTACATTAATGTTACACTGATGCTACATTATTTTCTTTCACCGACAAATGGAATTCCCTAGAAATTTTTTTCAAGCTGCAAGCTTTCATTCATTCATTTACAACATACAATAAATCGATTATATTAATTAATAAAGCAATTGCAATGAGCATAAACAAGTCCCATTATAACAATATATTACTTTTGGGCTGTGCGGTTTTTTCATACACCCTTATAACGTAAGGGCGAAGATTTTCGTTCATCCGCTGACGAGCTGAGCAGTTAAACTTATGGCACCATAATATACCGGCCGAGTAATCGCTCCAGTAGATGAAGTCCTGAAAAAGCGAAATGTATCAAGCCTCAAGAAATAGTCATTTTAAAAAAAGTATTGACAACATCAAACTTAAATTTGTATATAGTCACCAAATACTGTTTATTTTCATTTTAATATCTGCAAATAATTAATAGGCAGCACGACCTTTCCGCAGTTTCTTCCATGCCAGAGAAACAGATGTCTCGTGCGATATTTGCATTTGCTCATTTCTTGACGAAACCCTATTTTGTTACAAGCAAGAGCAGCTCAGATAACCGTAATCTAAAATCGAATGCCGCCACGACTGGGTTGCAAAGACAGTAGTTTCAGGAGGCATTATTTTCAGGGATCACATTGCGAGAAAGAAAGGAGGCAACACAGAGCACTTCACTCCTGACGGCAGATGATGGCCACTAAAAATGATCATACCTCATTGGACGCCATGCGTGCTAACAAGGTGTCTGAAATTTAGGCAAAGAGGTTAGCTCGACAAGTACATCTAACCCTCCTCTCAGTGTGTTTCGAAAATAGCAAATGGTCAGGCCACCAAAAACCGTATTAATTGACTGCCATTCATTAATAGTGCAGCGCGAAGATAGTAAAATATCTAAGTAAATAATGGGGCAACCGGCAAGGAAAACTGAGTGTTACCTCCAAAAAACGTAGCTACTGTAACTAACGAAGTCAGCAGTTAACTGAGCATCAATTTCATTAACTAGCTTTGATTCCTTACTTAAAAATTTATGAAAAGAAGCAGAACAGCTTTTAGTCCATAACTCTTAGCTCCTTCTAATGCTCAACGAACTCTCAAAAAGTGAGTAAGCAGCAAACCCATAATTTAATAAATTTCACCTGTTATATATTGCCGAAATGACATGCCATGCTCGCACTGATTCGAAGAATTTATCAATTAGATGGATTTCAAAAATAGTGCCAGAGAAACACACTGTACTGTTAAGCACTACATTTGTAGTTCTCCACGTTTACAGTGTCATATGTTTAAGCACAATCCTTTATAACATGAGAGCAAAACGAGTTCAAGTTTTTACGACTGCATGATCACAAGGTCAATTAGTAGAAGATATCCAATTCTACCCAAAGGACTCCATGAAGTGAACGTCTGAAAGGCAGCAGAATACAAACGTGCATGACTGTAAACTTCTCTACAGAACTATTCACCTCCAAAACATTAAGTATCAACAGCTACAAGTGTTCAGTAAAATTTTAGAATCGTTAGGTGTACAGTTGCCATACCTGTCATTCGAAGAATGGCAGATTATTTAAATCATTACACAAAGATGTCGCCATCAATACTACTCCATATGATCGTAGCCTCAAAAGGTGCTATTATGACCCTTTGATACACCCGCTCTGACTTGAGTCTTGATTGTGGAAAAGACTTTCAGAACCTAATAAAGTAGGTGAGGAATTCAGCTCTCATAATCTACTAGAAAACCGAGTAATCCAGAATATTCGTTTTGTGACCGAGTTGCCAGTAAATTGAATGGGGTATTAAAGATGACTACATCACTGCCCGCTGCAGAAGTGACGCCTTCAAAAAATTCCTCGTACGTACGTATGTATATGTACATGTGTTTGTATGCGTTCAATTCCATTTCTGATCAATTGTATATGCAGAATCGTAGCCACGAGCTATTCAACACTGGAAAAGCGGCGCAGGTAATGGATGGAGAATCCTGATGGCAGATATCATTATGCATGCTTTTCTGTGAGGCCCATGCCATGAAAATCAAAGCCTGGCTCATCAAGACCAACACACCTTTCAACAAGAATAACGGCATGGAGGTACGCTAACTAACGAGCAGTCAAAAAATTACCGACTCTAATCCACATTTGCCCTCCTAGATACTATCTGGATAACATGGTGTGTGAAGCTTCACTAAAAGTCCAAGCAAGTGCAAAATCGCAAAGAGGGTCCGACATTGAAGAGTAATATCACACATGTCACTCACAGCAATCCTAGAAGAGATCGCAAAAAACCTTATTTGAAAAATCATCGACTGGTGTGAAAACAGATGGCCCAATTTAAACTACTATCGATCCGGTACGACCTCTCGATCTTCACATGATCATTGGAAAACTAACAATAATCCAACAGCTGAAC